GGTATCAATACACCAAAAAACGAGCAAACAAAACAAATAATCAATGGCGGTGTCGGGATCGAACATGTTCAAGTACAATATCATTATGTACAGACGATGTGAGAATTTTACGGAATGAATCAGCGCATACATGCCAACCAGATACCACCAAAGTCCTACTCGATATTGCTGTTGATAATATGAAAAAACGTGCAAGAGAGGAAACACTACCTATTCCAAAAATATATTCACAAGAGGTCGTCAGATCAAGAGTTGCCAGTCCTGGTCTTGCAACTGGTCATGTTTTTCCAACACTTCCGAATGTTGATGCTTCACTTTATCGTCGTAGAGCGCTTAATTACCCCAAATTGCCAACAACTACCGATGAAATCGCTGTGACCGGCTTATGGAGGCAATCGAAAGAAGGAGGAGAACTTTTACTTGTCGATGAAAAATGTAAGTAACCTTCTAGAGAAGACGTGGCTCATCGCTGATTCTTCTGGCTTTATTTAAACTAGATGGTACAGATCGGCTCATGATATTTGGATCGGAATGGAGCATACGATTTTTGTCCACTTGTTCATTCTGGCATTCAGACGGTACATTCAGAGTTCGTCCATTACTCTTTGAACAACTTTATATAATTTTCGGTTTTCAAAACGGATCCATGATACCATGTGCATATTCTTTAACTACACGGAAAAATTCCATTGTCTACACGAAAATATTAAGACATTTAATCGAATATGGTAAAAAGTTGAATGTTGAAATGAATCCACAGCGGCTGACCTGCGATTTTGAACAAGCCACAATAAATTCTTTTATCGATATTTTTCCACATATCAAAATCAATGGCTGTTTCTTCCATTATGCTCAATCGCTGTGGAGAAAAATCCAGGAAGTTGGTATGATGCGTCATTTTGAAAAAACAAATGACACTAATAATATAATACCGCAGAGTGAACGAAAAAATGCTGATCATTGGTTTTTAGCTGCTGTTGGTTTAGCTCTAGTTCCCCCAACAATTATTGAGGGTATATGGGCAGAGATCATGGATCTATATACACCCGATCATGCTGGTGCAACGGAATTCAGTGATTATTTAGTCCAGACGTATGTTGATAGTGATATCAGTTTGTTCAATGCACAAACGTGGAATGTTAATGATGCAATTCAAAATAATTTACCACGAACTAATAATCATGTGGAAGGATATAACAAGCGTCTGGAAAGTAATTTTCCTGTTCATCCTCATATTTATGAATTTGTTCGACTGTTACGTGATGAACATTCGTTCCAGCATCATCAAGCTGAAGCATCGGAAATACGCGCTCCAAAAAGAAAGAAACTATATATTGATATTGACAACAAGCTGAAAGAATTACTTCATGGCTTTGCTACCGGTATACTGAATGAAGCTGAATTAGTTATAAAATGTGGTAGAGCAGTTAAAACTACCCAAATCAAAAAATAACACTTACTGTTAAAGTAAAATAGTAGTACTTAAATACTAGAATTAAAAATAATAGTTACTGTTACCATTTTTCAAATAATATACATATATTACAGTTGTTTCCCTTGAGACTAGTTTCGTCTTTATGCACAAGACAACATCAGTCAGATGATGACAAAAACTTTTCTCTTCTCTGAAGCACAGAAGAAACAGAAAAAGAAACACATGTAAAGAGCACAAACATGTAACTGAGTCCATTATTTAGTCGTACAATCCTCGAGAATCCAATACCTCGAAAAGCATCTTTCTGTTCCTGTTTTCGCTTTTCTCGTTGTTTGTCCAATATAACTGCTTACACAAACACAACAGTCATATATATCACCGTACGCAAGAGATACGAACAATTATATTAAAGCTAATTAAGTGCAAACTGATATGGGACGAACTGAGAGAGAAGTGTTGATGGGACGAACTGAGAAAAAAAAAACTTCGTGGGACGAATTGAGAAGTCAATTTGGGACGAACTGAGAGTAAACCGTTTGATTACTCTGTATTTTTGAGAGATTCTAGTAAGATTTTCCAGTAAGAACAGGGATCGTGCTTCATCAGTCAATACTATGCCCATGAATTAGTGGACTCCGACTCCAAGTTATTTTTTACCTTTTTAGGTTATTTTCACAACACAGTCACAGACTTTACGCGATGAAAATATAGTCGGCATCGTAGAAGAATAGACGCCGTTAGATCTGTCGTTATTGTAGAACCAATAGTTCGCTGACTAATCAGAATAGAACCACGAACTTTTCAGGCTGGAACCTGTCAGCCTACTCCGTGATTTTTTATCGACTGGACAATAGAGATCACAGAATTTTCTTAGAATTTGTTTTCTGAGAAAGTCCGCGGTTTCAGATAGATAGGTCCGTGAAAGAATTTACTTTTTATTTATCGTTTCAATCTAATGACGAAGACGGCCAATCTCATTCGACTGCCACTTTGTATTAGCACTGCTGCATTCCGGACATTGTTGAATACTCATCCTTTATTCATGTTCGCCATAAAATCGGCACTCAAATGTATATCGCCAATGGCGCCTAATGGAAATAAGAAACATATTTGAGATGATAGTCACCGACATACTGCCATTACATTGGATATACTATCAATCCGAACGAAGTGGTGTTTAAACAGACCGAGTAATTCAGTCAAAAACGACAGAACATACAAGACGGGCGATGCTCACGACTTCATTTACAGTGTCATCGTTATCCTCCAAATCTCTGCCGGCTCTACTCAGTTACCACTTCTCTTCATTTCTTATGTTAACCAAAAACTGGCGTCACCTGCTCTCGTCATCAATAAACGAACGCTTTAATCAACTGTTAGTTTATTGCACACGATTGTATCTGATGGTCCTGTCGTTACAATCTCTATAATCAATAAGACGTGACACAGAATTGAGCCGTATCGCAATCACAATACGTTTCTTTTTGTTTTTGATCGTAATACATAATCAACGTGTATGTTCATAGTGCAAACAAAAGCTGAGGGTTCTTTTTTCTGCTTTCATTTCTTCCTTTGCACAATCAAAGAAAATTGTCTGAACAGAATTGATGAAAACTTCAAGCAATCAACACATTTAAAAGTAAATTGAAAGCTAAAATGTAAGTATGACCGGGTGAAGGATTGAAATTACTTTGAAAATTTTGAAAAGCAACATGACGAATTTAAAATGTTTATTATGCTTACTTTTTTCCATTGAAAATATAATGTGAAACTCAAATTTTCTTAGCAAAATGTACCGAGTATGGCGTACGCTAAAAGCCATTTTGATCCACCAGAAGGTTGGGAAGAAAAACCAGATGGTACAGGAAGAGTCTGTTACACCGAGTATGTTTAGAACTTAAATCATGGACAGAGCTGAACTGTTCATATTGCATGCGCATGTTTTAGTTGTGTCAACAAAAAGACTCAATCGGACAGACCAAAAGGTGTGTAATTAAGAATTTCTACGCCGACCAGAAGATAATTCTTCAATGCTCCTTTTATCACACAGTTATTCCACGCAAGAAGTATATGTATTTGCTTTATTGATTAATATTTCAAGTTTTGTCATAAATTGGAACAGAGAAGAAATTTTCTATTTAAGATATGTATGTCACAGATATAACTATCATAGTTTTTAGTGTCGTACATCCAGTGTTGGCTCACGACTTCTTTGTACTATCATGAAGGAACAGAAAATAACAGTATGTCCCGATCAGAAATCGAACGTAGGACTCCCTGGTTAAAAGCCAAAGGCTGTCACTACTGAAATGTCGGGACACGATCTACCACACTTTCCAATTCTGAATAATTGAATCATTGAAAGTTTTTACCGTCGACGTGGAATGTACGATGTCGTGTGCCGTATCGATGTTAAGAATATCGTTAATTAATGTTGCAAAGATGATTAGATATTTTAGAAGCCGAATCATTCATATTTTTGTTTTGCGTCTCTTACTCAACATAAGAATGACTTAATTACATAAGAACATCAGCTTTTTTCCTACTAAAAATGCTCGTAGCTGTATTGAATATCGGCTTTACACGGCCACGTACCGTGGTCGCCCCACCGCCAAATATTATACTAAGAGGGTTATAAATGAAACATAGCCGCTGGGCTTTGATTAACTCCGAAACATTAACTCTAGAAACAGACTGGAGAAGAAGAACTATCAAAGAAAGTTTGTTTACTCATCTAAGCTATGGCAAATCTATTAATGAAATAAAATATAAACTAAAAGTGTTTGGATGAAATTGTGTTCTATGAGCACAAGTCTATCGGCCGACAAGAATGTTCAATAGAACATATGATCGATCATATGGATAAAAGACGTCTACTTAATTGTCTAATTTTCTGTTCTTTTTCTTTTTTGTACTCTTATTGAATCAAATCTGGCGTCATTCGTTTATTCTG